TTGGACTCGATGGCCCTTGTGGTCTCTTCCAACTCTGTGATTCTGTGATCATCACCATCATGTTGTTTGAAGCACCTCTCTGCACAAAATTACAGTTCAATGCAGAAGGATGCTCCAAAGCAGATGGAGAGCGGAGGTCGCTTGAAAAGTCCCATCTTGTGGATATTGGGGTTGACTGTCCTTCCACTTCACCTCCTAACACTGCAGCCAAGTCCCATCTTTGTTCTTTCCAACTGTCTCCTGGGTTAAATATAAACCGAAATAAAATCAACTCAGGCCAGGGTTCCTGAGCTTACAGGAACGAAGCAGAGCGATTGAGGATGGATGCCTCAGCCCCACGGTCGAAGGGGGCTGAGGCTGATGCAAAACAACAGGCTCAAAACAACAACAAATAAACAAACGGATCAGAAGGACTGGCGTAAAAAGCCTCTGATGGCACTGGGTGCTAAGAGAAAATATTCGGGGAAAACATCCTGTGTATTGCTCTCCAAATGAAATTGGAAAGAGCGGGGACAATTCTTGGACTTTTGGTGTTTTTTTTTTCTTTTTCAGAATCGGTCTGGATAAACCTTGGGAGAGGTTTCTGGACTTCCTTACCCACAGTGTTTATATTTTCCATTCCTAGAAGCATTTAAGCAGGGATTTTGTGGTGGCCTGCTTAAATACCTGGTTTAAGGGCCGTTAGCTTTGCAAAAGACCTGCTCCAAGTGGAGAGGGGAAAATGGCTTGTAATATGGAGGAGGAAATGGCTCTGTCTTAGTGCAATCCCACACCTCAAAATTGACCTCTCCACCCGCAACAGACCCCAGGAATGGCAGGCAGGAAGGGGTTTGCCCAGCTCTTGCATTTCTCAGAGGATGCCATGTGCTGAAGCTCCTCCGCCTTCGCTGACTCAGTGGCCATCTCATGCATCTGGCTTTCTTGGTGATGTGACTCACTTTTTACACTCAAATACGGTGGGCAAAGACGTCCTTCCACTTCACCTCCTAACCCTGTGTCTAGCCTACCTTGCAGGGTTACTGTGATGCTTTCAAGACATGTCTCAGGAGGACTGCCTTGAATGGATGCAAGGCATACGCTCAAACATTTAGCAGATAAAACTCGGGACACGCATGCCCAAGCAACGTCACCGTGTGGTCAAGATGGAAAACGTAGTTGATGAGGAAGAAGGCTGCGGCAGTTTGCTTTTGCCTGAGCTGACTGGGAAGAAGGGCAAGATTCCTCCCCGCTTCTGGTTAAATGCAAACTGCTCTTGCACTTTGAACCAAGTTTGTAGCAACTGGAATAAGCTGAGGATGAAGGTGGGAGGAGGAGAGAGAAAGCAGGACATTTTAAAAGCAGCTGAATTAAGATTAACTGAGACCGTCCCAACCAAATTAAGATAGTTGGAGGCTATGGGAAGCCAGATTCCTAATGTACAATGGGCCCTTGGTTTCTGCTGCCGGGGTTTGGTCCTGGACCCCCTCCCTGCGGATACCAAAATCCATGGATGCTCAAGTCCCATTATATACAGTGGCACAGTAAAAGCGGGAGAAATCAAGGAATGTATATATTTTTTTGAAATATTGTCAGTACATTAAAAAATCTGTGGCTATGGAGGGCTCGCTGTAATGCCCTGGAAACAAAAAGCAAAGGAAACTTTGCACAAAGGGGACAAGGCACACATTCAGAGTCGTGACGGGACCAAAGCCCCCCTTTTTTGGACTGCAGCTCTCAGAATCCTGCAGCCAGCAAGGCCACTGGTTGTCCTCCAAAAAATGGGGGGCTTTAGAGCCCTGCAGGGAACAAGGCCTCCTTCCCTCTGATAATAGACCTCCCTTTGTTTGCTGGAGGTGGATGTTGTGCAAGCCTGCCTCTTTTTCTCTTTCTTTCTTTCCTTCTTTCTTCCCTCCTTCCGAGGTTACTGTGCGAAAGGTCACTGCTATCTGAGGTCTCCGAGAAGCATGTTCATGCAAGGAAGGAAGGAAGGAAAGTAGGAGGGAGGGAGATGGAGGGTTAAGAATAGAAGCTTCTGAGAAGTGGGGAGCAATATTAATAAAGCTCTGTTTGCAATTGGAACCACATG